CTCCTCGCTGAAGCACATGGACTGGGCCACGAGCTTGAGCACGTCCTCGACGAGGCCGCGCTGCTGCGCGAGCGACGCGATCGTCGCGTCGTAGTTCGTCGACATCGTGCTACGGCGCTGCGTCGCGGCAGCTTAAAGCGGCCAGACTGGTGCACCGCTTGGAGTGGTAAAATCGTTGGGTCGCTGATCCGGATCGGTCCGCCTCGACTGCGAAGGTGCTCCTCGAGGTTTTGAAGCGCCAGCGTCGTCCCTCGGCCGCGTCCAGCGCGCGCGCCATGGACATCCGCAGCTTCTTCAAGCCCAAGCCGGGCCAGGAGAAGAAGAAGGCGTCTTCATCCCCGAAGCCGCCGACGCCGAAGAAGGCCGCGTCGCCGAAGAAGGCCGCGTCGCCGGCGAAGAAGTCGCCGGCCAAGCGCAAGGCGCCGTCGCCGGCCCCGGCGCCGCCGGCCAAGGCGCCGACCCCCAAAAAGAAGGAGGTCATCGAGATCGAGAGCGACGACGACGCCAAGCCCGCGGTCGACGTGCTCGGGCTGTCGGCGCCGGCGGACGTGCTCGGCCTCGGCGGCGCGTCGTCCGACGACGACGACGTCGAGGAGGTCGCGGCGCCGGCGGCGCCCGCCGTCGAGGCGCCCAAGCCCAAGAAGGCGAAGCAGTCGGGCGTCATCAGCGCGTCCGCGTTCTTCGCCGGCGAGGCGCCGAGCGCGCCGCTCGCCGCGCCCGCGCCGAAGAAGCAGAAGAAGGCCGCGGCGCCGCCGCGCGCGCCCGCGCCGGCGCCCGCGGCGCCCGCGGGCCCCCTCGCGGGCAAGACCTTTGTGTTCAGCGGCGTCCTCGAGGGCGCCGCGGGCCCGCTCGAGCGCGAGACGGCCGAGGATTTCGTGAAGGCGCGCGGCGGCCGCGTGACGACGGCCGTGAGCGGGCGCACGAACTACCTCGTCGTCGGCGAGCTCCTGGAGGACGGCCGCCGCGTCGAGTCGGGCTCCAAGTTCGCCGCCGCGGAGGAGAAGAAGGTCGCCGTGCTCCGGGGCTTTCCCGCGCTCGAGGCCCTGGCGGCGGAGTCGGCGGCCGCGGTCGCCGCGGCCGGCGGCGCGAAGCCCAAGCCGCCCAAGGCCGCGCCGGCGGCGCCGCGGGCCGCGGCCGTGTCGGGCCTCTGGGCGGACCGCCACAAGCCCAAGAGCCAGAAGGACATCCTCGGCAACGGCGACGTCTGCAAGAAGCTCGGTTTGTGGCTCGACGACTGGGAGAAGGTGCACCTCGGCGACGAGAAGAAGCGCAAGAAGCCCGCCTTCGCCAAGGAGAACCCGGGCGCCAAGGCCGCGCTGCTGAGCGGGCCGCCGGGCATCGGCAAGAGCTCCATGGCCGCGCTGCTCTGCGCCGCGCGCGGCTTCGACGTCGTCGAGCTCAACGCGTCGGACACGCGGTCCGCGCGGACCGTCGAGGAGACGCTCGGCGACGCCTTGGGCTGCCAGGTCGTGTCGTCGTCCTTCGCGAAGAAGGGCGCCGCGCCGCCGTCGAAGAAGCGCCTCCGCCGCGTCGTCATCATGGACGAGATCGACGGCCTCAGCGGCAGCGACCGCGGCGGGTCCCAGGCCCTCGTCAAGCTCATCAAGTCGTCGTCGACGCCCATCATCTGCATCTGTAACGACCGCCAGTCCGCCAAGGTCAAGACCCTCGCGAACCACTGCTTCGACCTCCGCTTCAAGCGGCCCATGAAGGTCACGATCGCGAAGCGCGTCATGGCCATCGCGATGAAGGAGGGGCTGACCATCGAGCAGAACGCCGCGGAGCTGCTCGTCGAGTCCTGCGGCAACGACATCCGCCAGTGCCTCAACGCGCTGCAGATGTGGGCGACGTCCGAGGGCGAGGCGGAGACGTGCTCCTACACCGCGATGAAGGACCGGCTCTCGACGATCTCCAAGGACGCGATCCAGCGCGTGACGCCCTTCGACGGCGCCAAGATCATCCTCAGCGACGTGCGGCGCAAGTCCCACTTCGACCGCTGCGACGCGTTCTTCACGGACTACTCGCTCGTGCCGCTGCTCGTGCAGCACAACTACGTGACGGCCGCGTCCGCGGCGCGCGACGCCCAGGGCAAGCCCTGCTCCGTCGACGAGAAGCTGAACCGCCTCGAGGCCGCGGCGGCGTGCCTCAGCGACGTCGACCTCATCGACCGCCGCGTCCACGCGGACCAGGAGTGGGGGCTGCTGACGACGGAGGCGTCGCTCACGGTCCGCGCGGGCGTGCTCGTCGACGGCTCCTGCATGGCGCCCCAGTTCAGCGCCTGGTTCGGCAAGAACTCGACGACGAAGAAGTCGAAGCGCCAGTGCGGCGAGCTCGCGCTCCACCTCGGCTCGCGCATCTCGGGCACGCGCGACGCCGTCCGCCGCGACTACCTGCCCATGCTCGCGAAATACGTCACGCGGCCCCTCGTCGACGGCGGCGCCGCGGGCGTCGCGGAGACCATCGCGCGCCTCGACGAGTACGGCCTCTCCAAGGACGACCTCTTCGAGACGCTCCCGGACCTCCAGCTCGGCGGCGCCAAGGTCCCGGGCCTCGACGCGCTCGACACCAAGGTCAAGACCCACTTCACGAAGACCTACAACGCGGGCACGCACGGCTCCCAGGCGCTCCAGCCCCAGAACCTCGTCGCCAAGAAGAAGAAGCGCAAGGCCGACGACGACGCGCCGGGCGTCGCGCGCGACGACGACGACTACGTCGACGACGACGACGACGAGGAGGACCTCGACGTGTCCATGTTTAGCAAGAAGAAGAAGAAGAAGGCGCCCGCGAAGAAGGCGCCCGCGAAGAAGGCGCCCGCGGCCCGGAAGCCCGCGGCCAAGAAGTCGAAGAAGGGCTAGGGGGCTCCAGGGACTCGTGCTAAAGCGCCTCGTCGGCCGAGAAGTCGAAGACGGGGTGCACCTCGGACGGCTCGGCGACGCTGCTTTTGGTGTTGTATGGTGGTTGTGGGGTGTGTATCGCCAACGGCGTCGATTGCGAGCGGGCTTTCGAAATGAGCTGCAACTTGCTATTCAACTTGCAGTTTTTAAATCTTTAAAACTCGCGATCCACGCCTCAAGCCGGCGGCATTCCTTTTGTCTGGCGCGGGTTGCGGCGACGCGGGGGCGCGGCAGCCGAAGATCTGCGCCGCGGGGCGCGGCGCGCGAGCCTCCTTTGACCTCCGGTGGCGCCCAGCGGGTCGGAAATCTCAGGTCCAGCATGATTGGGGCATTTTGTCACATCATAGGCTGCCTCGTGCTGATGACGATCTCGGGCGGGATCTCCGCGCTCCTGGACGCGCGCGACGCGCGGACCGAGGTGCTGGGCGCCGTCTCGACGATGCCGTCCTTCGAGCGGCCCGCCGAGCGCGCCGCGAAGGACGACTTCGGCTCCGCCTCGATCGCCGGCGGCGGGAGCGGAGACGCGGCCGGGGCGCGTGGCGGCGCCGCGGCGGCGCGCGGCGGCGGCGCGGCGGCGCGGCGGCGGCTCAGCGACTGGGAGTGCACTGCCAGTGATGATGACGAGCTGTGTGCATGTGGGGTCTCCAACACCGAGGATGTCTGTTGTGCTGCAAGTTGTGGGTCGTGTGGCGGAACAGGCTGCTCATCCCGCGATGGTGGTGAAGAAAATTGTTGCAGCAGCGGTATAATAGAAAGCAACGTGGCCTGCGAAAGTCCGAGCGACGTTGTCTGCATGATCACATCAGCAGAGCCCACGCCTTATGCCGCCTTTCCGCATCCTACTCAAATTCCGTGGGAGTGCACTGCCAGTGATGATGACGAGCTGTGTGCATGTGGGGTCTCCAACACCGAGGATGTCTGTTGTGCTGCAAGTTGTGGGTCGTGTGGCGGAACAGACTGCTGGTCCCGCGATGGTGGTGCAGAAAATTGTTGCAGCAGCGGTATAATAGAAAGCAACGTGGCCTGCGAAAGTCCGAGCGACGTTGTCTGCATGATCACATCAGCAGAGCCCACGCCTTATGCCACCTTTCCGACGCATCTCCCAACAGACAGACCAACCAACTATCTCCCAACATACAGACCAATCGCAGCCCCGACTGTGACTTTTGCTCCCACAGTAACCCCCGTCCCCACGTCGACAATCACCTTTGCTCCCACGGCCGGCTTGATCACCTTTTGCTCGCTCGACGACACGGCTGTGTGCTGTGGTAACTCCCATTACTTTGTTGAGGCGCTCGCCAACGGACCGCTCGAAGGAATTTCCGTGGCATCTCTCAGCACAGCCACCTTCGGCGACGTCGACGGCGATGGCGACGTCGACCTCGTCGTTGGCCAACTGGACGGCTCTCTCGACTTCTACAGGAACGTCGGGACCGCGTCATCACCAACGTATGAAGCCATCATTGGCAGTTCGAGCCCCTTCGATGGGATCGACGTCGGGATCTACAGTGCTCCTGTGCTCGGCGACCTCGACGGCGATGGCGACCTCGACCTCGTCGTGGGCGAGGCAAGCGGCGTTCTTAGCTACTACGAGAACATCGGGTCCATGAAATCACCGAAGTACCAGCCCGGCAACAGCCTGTTCGACGGGATCGATGTCGGTTCTAAGAGCATGCCCGCACTGGCAGACATCGACGGCGACGGTGACCTCGACCTTCTCATTGGCGATACCACCGGCATCCTTACCTACTACGAGAACATCGGATCGACGAATCTGCCCTCATACAAGGCCATCACCGACGGTACAAGCCCCGTCGATGGGTTCGACGTTGGTCTCGGCAGTGCTCCAACGATAGCCGATCTCGACGGCGACGGCGACTTGGACTTATTCGTCGGGGATGGAGACGGTGTCCTCCACTACTACGAAAATCTCGGATCTGCGTCTTTGCCGAAGTACCAGGCCGCCGGCGAGGGCGCGAGCCCCTTCGAGGGGATCGACGTTGGCTCCTTTAGCACGCCCTTCCTGGTGGACCTTGACAACGACGGCGACGTCGATCTCGTCCTAGGCGAAAAGGACGGCGGGCTTCAATACCACGGGAACGTTGGACCAGCTGTATCACCCGCGTACGTGGCCGTTTCCGGCATTTCGAACCCCTTCAATGGGATCGACGTCGGTCAACGCAGCACGCCGACACTCGGCGACCTCGACGGCGACGGTGACCTCGACCTTCTCGTGGGCGAAAAGGACAACTCCCCATTTTACTACGAGAACGTCGGGTCTGTGGCATTGCCCATTTATGAGGCCATTCCTGGCAGCGCGAGCCCGTTCGACGTGATCGACGTTGGCGAGCGCAGCACAGGATTTAACTGCAAGCCCGTTTTGGCTGACGTTGACGGCGACGGCGATCTCGACCTCGTCTTGGGCGAAGAGGACGGCGTCCTGAACTACTACAAGAACATCGGGTCCGTGGTGTCGCCGACGTACCAAGTGATGACCGACAGCTCGAACCCCTTCGACGGGATCGACGTCGGGATCTACAGTGCGCCCGCGCTGGCCGACCTCGACGGCGACGGCGACCTCGATCTCGTCGTGGGCAGTCGGGGAGGCACTCTCAGCTACTACGAGAACGTCGGGTCCTCGACGTCGCCGACGTACACTTTCATAGATGCTGCGAGCCCCTTCGACGGTATCGACATCGGTAACGACAGCGCGCCCACATTCGCCGATGTTGACGGCGACGGCGACCTCGACCTCGTCGTGGGCGAAGAGGGCGGCGTCCTGAACTACTACAAGAACATCGGGTCCGTGGTGTCGCCGACGTACCAAGTGATGACCGACAGCTCGAACCCCTTCGACGGGATCGACATCGGAGACAGGAGCATGCCCGCGCTGGCCGACCTCGACGGCGACGGCGACCTCGATCTCGTCCTTGGCCAAGAGCCTGGCGCGCTCTACCTCTATGTCAATGGCTACTGCACAGGGCTGTGCAACCTAAAGGGCCTCTGCGACCCTACATCGACTCCGTTTTTCGAAGCGTCCTGCCAGTGCCTCGGCGGCTACTCCGGCGACCAATGCGGCGAGTGCCAGACGGGCTATTTCGGCTCCACGTGCGAGCTCTGCCCAGAAGGTGGCTCGGAAGACCGCGACGCGCCGCGCCTCACCGACACCTGCGGCATCGCCGGGAGCGGCCGGTCGCGCGGCTCCTGCGACGACGGCGTCCGCGGCGACGGGACCTGCACGTGCTACGACATCTTCTCCGGGAGCGGCTGCACGGAGGGCACGTGTCCCGCGGGCACGATCGAAACCGCAGCCTTCGAGGGATATTTCAACGTCGCCGAATGCACGCCGTGCGACGCCGGCACGTACTCAGCGGAGGGCGCCGACCAGTGCACGAACTGCGACGCGGGCACCTTCTCGGGCGCGGGCGCCAGCGAGTGCGAAAGCTGCGCCCCGGGGACGTACTCTGGCAGTGGTGCCTCGGAGTGCGAGCCCTGCGCCGCGTCGACGTACGCTCCAGACGAGGGCTCGAGCTCGTGTGCGCTGGCTCCCGCCGGCAGCTTCGTCAGCGCGACGGGCGCGTCCGCAGCGACCGCATGTCCCGCGGGCACCTACTCCGCGACGGCGAGCTCCGAGTGCACGACCTGCGAGGTCGGGACCTACAGCGATGACGGCAGCGACACGTGCACGCTGTGCTCGAGCGGCTACTCGAGCGCCGCCGAGGGCGCGAGCGAGTGCGCGGCGTGCCCCGTCGGAAAGTACAAGGGCGCGGGCGCCGGCGCGTGCGTCGACTGCGACGCGGCCAAGTACGCGGACGAGGCGGGCTCGAGCGACTGCAAGCTCGCGGCGGCCGGGACCTTCATCAGCACGACGGGCGCATCCGCCTCGACGCCGTGTCCCGCGGGCACGTACTCGGCAACGGCCTCGGAGGAGTGCACCATCTGTGGGATCGGAAGCTACAGCGCCGCAGGCAGCGACACCTGTACCTTGTGCCCCGCGGGTTTCTCGAGCAGCTCCGCTGGTGCGAGCAAGTGCGGCGCGTGTCCGGCCGGCACTTACAAAGGCGCCGGCGCCGGTGCCTGCGAGCGGTGTCCCGTCACAATGTATACCAGCTCAAAAGGTTCGGGCGTTTGTGCTCTCGCTGATGCCGGCTTCCACGTTCCGACTCCGGGCGCCTCGAAGCAGATCCCGTGCCTCCCTGGGACGAGCTCGGGCTCGGGCGCGAGCGAGTGCGAGCCGTGCGCGGAGGGCACCTACTCGTCCTTGCCGGGCCAGGCGTCCTGCAAGCAGTGTCCGCCCTTTTCGACGACGCTGGCCGAAGGCGCCACGGGCTGCTACTCGTGCCTCGAGGACTACTACTTCTCGCCGTTCGCCGTCGATCTCGACGACGGCGGATCCGTCCCGTGCGACGACTCGATCAAGCTCCTCGTGAGCTGCGCGCACGACAGCACCAAGTGCTTCGACCAGTGCTGTCTGAGCTGCGAACGCGGCATGGACTGCGAAAACGCGACGTCCAACACGCTGACGGCGGTGCCCATCGAGGACGGCTGGTGGCGCGCGTCCAGCTACTCCGACGACGTCTACCAGTGCCAGTACTCCGGAGCGTGCAAGAAGGGCGAGTGCGCCGAGGGGCACGAGGGCGTCGCGTGTCGCGTATGCAAGAACGACTACCACCACGACGCACTGAAGAACCGCTGCGTCGAATGCAAGGGCACTTCGTTGGATCCGCTGACGATCGCGAGCGGCGCGTGTCTCGTCGTCCTGGTGCTGGCAATAATCGTGGTGGCGTGCCGGTCTGGGAAAAAGCGAGAGGCGCTAGTTCATGCCGCCGCGATGGCAAAAGGCGGGGTGGCAGGCCATGTTGAGGGCCAGGTTACCGATGCAATACTCGGAGACGGCGAAGAGGATGACGCTCCCGAGACAGAGCGACGCGGCGCTACCACGTCCGATGATGTCACTTCGACCGATGAAGAAGAAAAAGAATCTACGTGGGCTGAAACGAGGCGCTCGCTCCACACGAAGTTCAAGATTATTCTCGGCGTGTACCAAATCCAAGACGCGCTGCCGTGGACGATCCCGACCGTTTCGTTCCCGAAAGCCTTCGAGGCGCTCATCGCGTGGACGTCGTTCTTGGAATTCAACGTCGTGCAGATTCTCCCAGTCTCGTGCCTGCGCCCCTTCAAGTTCTTCGACAAGTTGTTTGCGATGACGGCCCTCCCTATTGTCTTCTCGCTACTGATCTTTTTCTTTGGCGAGCTCGCCGCGATGTGCGCGACCGCCAAAAAGGCAAAATCAATCCGTACCACGTCGTTCGGCGCCTTTCTCCTGCTCACATTCGTTGTGTTCCCGAGCGTGTCGACGACGGTGCTGCGCTTCTACAACTGCGTGAGCTACGAGGAAGGCTTTTCGGACGGCTCGACGGAGACGATCAAGGTGCTCGAGGCGGACCACGACATCTCGTGCACGTCGCCGAGCTACAAGGGCATCTGGTCCACCTACGCGCTTGCCATGCTCTTCGTATACCCCGTCGGAATACCGCTCCTCTACTGGGTGCTTCTCTTCCGGTACCGCAAGCAGTTGGACCCGAGCGTCGACGTTAGCCGGCTCAGCGAGATCGAGGACACCAGCGACGGTAGGCCTCGAAGCGCTTCTGCGGAGGCGTACAGAGAGCTTAACGAGCGACTCCCTCTGCAAAATTCTTCCGCGCGAGACTTGATGAAGACGATGCTCGGCGCCAATACGGTCTCCGCCGCGGAGTTGCAGAAACGAAAGCTTGCGACGCGTGACGCGGACGAGTCGATCCAGCATCTCGCGTTCCTCTTCGAAGAGCGCACCGCGGCGTCTCGTGTGCATCACATTAATTGCCAACCAGTCCGCGCGCCAGGTACGAGCCGCGCTGCTACCAATTTGTGGTCTTCGAGTGCATCCGCAAGCTCGCGCTCACGGGCCTGCTTATTTTCATGTAGGAGACCGGCTACATGATGATTCGATGACGGTTCGATGTAGGTACCCGGGTAGCGCGTCGCAGATCGCTATTGGTCTCCTCATCGCGTTCCTTTCGATGCAAGTCTACACGTACAGCCGCCCCTACATCGAAGACGCGGACGACAACCTGGCGAACGTGGGCAACGCGCAGATCGTCCTCGTGTTCATCGCGTCGCTGATGCTGTTCATCAAGGACATGGACGAGCAGGACGGCGCGCCCGGCGATATGTTCAAAGGTCCGATTTTTAGCTACGCCATGATCGTCATCGGGACCCTCGTGCTCGTCGCGACAATTTACACGATCCTCGTCGAGACCTGCGAGGTAAATCCCGAAGAGGTGACGCTACCTTCCCCCAAGAAGAGCAAGGAGAGCGCGCCTGCAGACAAAGAAGTCGCGCGTCCTAAGCCGGTCGCCGCCGCGGACGCCGTGGGATCGCTGAAGCCAACGATTGACAGCGACCAGAACAAGAAAGCGCGATCAGCGGACGAAGCCTACGACCAGATCAATCACCAAATTATTCACGAAGCCCCGGACGACGAGGCTCCAGCCTTGCCTGCAGCTTCAAATTTATCAGAAGAAGAACCAAAGCCTTGGTGGTAAGGTTTGGCCGCTCCATCGCCCGCGGCCTAATTCCACATCCCGGGATAGCCCCATCAAGCTGGCCTTGCCACCGCCGCCCTAGAGCCGAACCACAACGCCCCCGGCCAGCCTGTGCGCCACCCCTACAAGACCCCCGCCGCCCTGCCCCTCCAGCTCCGCGGCCGAGGCATACCCCCGGCCGCGTCTGAGCATCCCCCCTGCCTTTTCGCCTCGACCTCGCTTATGATATGGACCAGAAAACCGAAGAGATCCAATGCTGCCCGCGATGCGCGCGCTAGCCCTTCCCCGGCTTCGCCGGGCGGCAGCAGGCCTCCCGGCAGGCGTCCCGCGCGGCCGCGCCGTCGTCGCCGGCGACCTTGCAGCGCGCGCGCGTCGGGTTCTCCGCGACCCACGCGCAGGTCCTGCCGCCCGCGGCCCAGGTCGGCGAGTCCCCCCCGCCGCAGTCGAGGTCCGCGCAGGGCCGGAGCGCGGCGTAGACGTCCTGGGCCGCCGTCCGCGGCGCCGGCGCGTCGTCGGAGTAGGAGCGCGGCCGCTTCGCGACGGCCGCCGCGTAGCCGAGCGCGTCGAGCGCGGCGCGCACCGTCGCGCTGGCCACGACGGCGGCGTCCGCGGCGTCGGCGCGCGCCCAGCACCGGCCCTTGACGGCGGCGAGCACGCGGAGCCGCGCGCCGACGCGCGCGCGCCGCGGCGCCGCGCCGCGGACGTCGCGGCTGTGGAAGCCGCTGCCCTCGACGCCGAGGCCCCAGCGCCGCCGGGGCAGGCCGCCGGCGTCGTCGAGGAAGTCGAGGAGCGCGCACTTCTTCGGGAAGGCGAGGGGCCCCGCGCGCACGTCCTTGGGGTTCTGGAACGCCGCGGCGACGAGGAGGTCGCACGCGCGCGCCGCGCCGCCGTAGGCGCCGCCGCGGCCCGCGTAGATCTTCGCCGCCGCCGCCGCCGCGTCGCCGCCGTAGGCGCCGCCGTGGACCCAGTCCAGCAACACCCGGGCCGCGCCGGGGTCCGCGACGAGGTCCTCGACGCGCGCGACCGCGTACCGGTCCGGCCCGAGCGCCGCGCCGGCCTTGACGAGCGCGAGCTGCTCCTCGGCCCAAAATTCGGCGAAGACGGCGCGCCAGAGCAGCGCGTCGTGGTAGAGGCGGTCGCAGGCCATGGGGGGCGCGGATCCGCCAGGCGCCGCGCGCGATATCGCCGCGCGCCGCGCGTCGACGACGGCCGCGTACGTTTCGCGCCACCACGCGCGCATGACCGCGACGTCGCCCTCGACGTGCGCGGACGCGAGGCTCCGCACGTCGCGGGCCACGTGGAGGAAGCGGAAGGCCGGGAACGCGAGCCCAAAGGCCGGCAGGTGGAAGAGGGCCCGCGGCTCCTTCCAGCCCCAGGGCGCGCCCGCCGCGACCGCCGCGAGCGCGCTCGCGTTCAGCGAAAAGGCGCAGAGCGACGCGAGCTCGCCGCGCCGCGCGGCCCGCGGCAGCGCCGCGAGGTCGTAGAGCAGGCCCTCGGTCGCCGCGGCGCCGAGGACGGGCAGGAGCCCCGCGGACCGGCCGGGCCCCCGGACGCCTCGGTCGTCGACGTCGTTGAAGCCCGCGAGCCGCATCGCCAAGGCGTCGTGGGTCTTCGCACCGTCGGAGCCTACGGGTTTTGTGGGGTGTCAAGGGCACACGCTCGCGCTCGAAGGCGCCGGTCCGCGCTCGACGCGTCGTCCTCGCCGCCGTCGACGCCGTTCATCTCGACGCCGCAGGCCCGGAGCAGCTCGACGACGGACCGGCTGCCCGAGCCGCCCTGGCCCGCGACGACGACGGGCGCGCGCGCGCCGGCCGCGGCCGCGGGGCGCGGAAAGGCCGCGCAGGCGCCGCTCCGCGGGTAGAGGCCGTCGGCGGCCGCCGCCGGCGAGAAGAGGCGCCGGAGCTCCGTCGCGTCCGCGTCGCGGTCCTCGAGGAGGAGCACCTGGAGCTCCGCGTACGCGTTGCGCACCGCCGCGTCGCCTGTGTGGAAATCAAATCTTCAACCCGACTTCAATCTGCGCGTATTCGAACGTTGTGACGCGAGGATTGCCGCTGTGCTTCGAGAACTCGACGAGAGCAATCGATTCGTCCAAAAATCAGCCGAATCGACTTCGATTTGACCGAGCTAGAGAGTTCTGAAGTTTGGTGGGGACCCCCCAAACCAGTGCTTGATTTCCACACCGCCGCGTCGCCGGTCGCGAGATCCGCCTCGAAGGCGCCCGCGGGCGGCGCCGCGCCGTGCCCGCCGAGCGCCGCGTAGGCCAAAAGGGCCTCGCGGAGGTACTCGAGCGCCGCGCGCGCGGAGCCGACGGCGAGCATGGCGCCGCGCGTCCGCGCGCCCATCGCTTTCGCGTCCGCCGCGTGGGCCCGGAGCCAGGCCACGGCGCGGGCGACGGACGCGCAGAAGGCCGCCGCGCCGGCGCCGTCGGCGCCGACGTAGTCGACTTTGTCGCGCAGCGTCGCGCCGGGGTCGTGGGCCGCAGCCGCGTGGGCCGGCCAGGCCGCCGTAATTAAATCCTCGTACGCCGCGTCTGCGTCGAGGATCACGGGGCCGCCGCAGGCGCCGTAGTACTTGAGGCCGTTCGACGTCGAGATGCCGTCCAGATAAAGAAACGCCTCCTTGGCGCAGACGTCCCCGTGGTCCGCGAAGCCGTAGTTCCGCAGCGTGATGCCCGTGGGCCCGTCCGCGGCCGCGACGGCGCGCGCCGCGGCGGCCGCCGGGTCGCCGGAGACGGCTCTGTCCGTCGCGCCGCGGGCCTCGACCTCGACGGCGACCTCGGCCGCGGCGACGTCGAGGCGGTCGTCGCCCGCGTCGCAGGCCGTCGTGACGGCCCAGCGGCGCGCGTTGCCCTCGCCGCCGGAGAACTGGAGCGACGCCGCGACGGGCTCGGCCAGCGCGTCGACGACGTTCCCCCGGCCGTCGAGGCGGCTCGCGAGGTTGTGGACGTAGGCGCGCCGCGCGACCATCTCCTCCACGGAGTAGCCCGTGAACGCGTGGACCGTGCCGCGCCAGAACGCGCCGGACCGCTCGCGCGCCGCCGGCGGCGCCGCGTCGCCGACGTCGCCGCCCTCGAGGCGGAACGTGTCGAACGACGGCAGCAGCCAGTGGCGCCGGTCCGGCGGCGCGCGCCGCAGCCGCGCCTCGGCGAAGACGGGCGGCGACGTCGACGCGTCGAGGACGCCGGGCACGTCCATGAGCAGGAAGAGGAAGTCGACCGGGGGGAGCGCCGGAAACCGGCGCGCGATTTCGAGGAACGCGCCCAAAAACACGGGCAGCCGGTTCCACTCCGCGCGCGAGTAGGCCATGGCCAGGGCGCCGTCCGCCGGCAGGGTCGCGAAGAGGCGGCCGCCGGCGATCGTCGCGCGCGCGGCGCGGCGCAGGGGGTCCGCGGGCGCCGCGAACGCGGCGTCGACGTCCCCGCGGGTCACGCCGCGCGCCGCCCAGGGCGCCGCGTCGCGCGCGAGGAAGGCCCAGCGCTTCGACGGGGCGAAGGGCGCGTACGGGGCCCGCCGCGGCACCGGACGCGCGGCCGGCGCCGCCGCAACCGCCGCGGCGTCGCGCGCCGCGCGCGCCGCGGCCGCGGCGGCCGCCGCCGCCGCCGCCTTCGCGCGCGCCGCGGCCGCGCAGGCCGGCGACGCGCCCGCCGCGTCCAGCAGCTCGGCGAAGCGGCGCCGCGCGGCCGCGTAGACGGCCCAGTCGGCCCAGTCGTCCGTCGCGTTGCCCGGCGGCGGCGGCTCCGCGAGCTGCGCGCGCCGCGGCCTCGGCAATTCGTAGACGCGGTGGAAGAGGCACACGGACGTCGCCCAGTCGTCGGCGACGCCGACGAAGCCGAGCGCGCCGACGCGCGCCACGGCGCCCGCCGCGTCGGCGTCGCCGACGTCGACGTGGCGGTCGCAGCGGTGGCCGTTGAGCACCTGGGCAGGAAAAGGGTGCGAGGCTCCTCTCTCGGCCGTTTTCCGCTCGTTCCGGCTAATTTTTGGGCGGGCGATCATCTCTCGGAGCGCTCTCGAAGCGTGGACGCTTCGTTTTTGATTCGCGCGCGCGCGGAACACTCACGTTGAAGCGATGCTGAATCACTCTTTTCCTGCCCTGTCGAGCACGCGCGTCGCGCAGCCCGTCGCCGCGCCGCCGGCGTCGAGCCGCTTCCGGTAGAGCTTCTGCCGCCGCGCGTCCATGGACGCGCCGGCGAGGGCCGCCGCCGCGGCCCCGCCCGCCGGCGCGGCGACGACGGCCGCGTACGCGGCCGGGTCGCGGTCGCGCGGCGGCGGTTGCGACGACCTCGCGAGGAGCCGCTTCGCCGCGTACGCGCACCTGTCGCCCGACCGCTTGAGCGCGTCGAAGACGCAGGCGTCGCGCGGGCCGCAGGCCGACGCCTCGCGCAGGCTTCGCGCGGGCGCGCCGCGGCACGCCGGCAGGGCGAGGACCATGGTCACGGCCCAGGCCGACGACTGCCGCGGCACGCGCAGCCAGTCGGGCGGCGCCTTCGACGGCGCCTCGGGCCAGTCGCCGTCGAGGCCGCAACCGCAGGCGACGGGCGCGTCGTCGCTCCCCGCGACGGCGAGGAGGGCGACGACCGACCACCAACGCCTCCTCATCTCATCTCATCGGTCGCACGCACGCTCGCCAGTGTCAAAACAGCTGGCATGAGAACCGCGTTAAATAGGACGCCTAGTCCGCGCGGCGCCGCGCGCGACGGCGGAGGACCAACTGGGTGGCAAGGCCGAGGACGAGGACGACGCCCATGACCTCCAGCGTCCTGTCCTTCACGTCCACGTCGCCGTCGCCGTCGACGTCGAACGCGGGGACGCGGTCGAATCCGTCGCGGGCGCCGCGACGAGGCTCCCGCGCGTCGCTCGTCTTGAGGGCCGCGAGCTCGGCCTTGAGCGCTTCGATGCGCTTCGTCCTCTCGCGGACGACGACGAGGGCAGGTTGCGGCGGCGGCGGCGCCCGCTCGCGGACGCGGGCTGGCGGCGGCGGCGGCTCGCGGCCGACGCGCGGCGCGCATTTCGTGCAGTCCGTCCCCCCGGACTCGTAGTTCTCGGTCACGCCGCAATACCCGTTCGCCGAGCAGAACTCCTGGCAGACGCCGTCGACGAGGGAGACGCCGCCGTCGCCGGGCGACCCCGCGGAGCAGATTGAGCACTCGGCGGCCGCCTCCGGACCGCAGCCGGGCGGCGGCTCGCGGCCGACGACGCGAGGCGGCGGCGGCGGCGGCGGCGGCCCGCGCGAGGACCAGCCGCACGAGGCGTCGTCGAGCACGGCTCTCAGGTCGCCGCCGCGCATGCCGTCCCACTGCTCGGGCGTGAAGGACCCGACCTCCTCGTTCTTCATGAAGTCGTTGAGCTTGTAGCCCGCTCGCGTCAGCCGCTCGAAGAGCTCGTGTCGGTCGACGCCGCTCTCGACCGTCGCGTCGTGCTGGTACTCGAAGTAGATCTGGCAGGGCTTGAAGTCGCTCGCGAGCAGGCGCGCCGCGCCGCGGAGCGCGCGCGTCTCGAAGCCCTCGATGTCGATCTTCATGACGTCGACGCGGCGCGCGAGGCCGTGCGTGTCGAAGAGGAGGTGGTCCAGCGTGTCCGTGTAGACGACCTCCATGCACGCCTTCTGCTTGTCCTGGCCGAAGTCGCGCCGGCCCTCGAAGTAGGGCGTCATGCGCGCGTTGCCCCGGTTGATCTCGTCGTTCGTGCTCCAGATGCACATCTTCGGGCCCGGGAACGAGTCCGCGAGCCCCATCTTGTAGAGCGAGACGCGGTCGTCGAGGCGCGCGGGTCCGCACATCGTCCGGCGGATGAGCGGCACCTGCGACGGACGGGGGGGTCGCGGCGCGCGGTCGCCGCGGACGCGGGGCCGGACGTTGAGCCTGAACGGCTCGACGGCGATGACGTCGTTGTCGTTGGCGGCGACGGTGGCGGTGAACGCGCCGACGTTCGCGCCGACGTCGAGGAAGAGGCCGCGGTCGCGCGTGTTCAGGTAGCTCACGATGCGCGTGACGATGTGCCTCTCCCAGCATCCCTGCTTCGCCATGTCCGACGACACCTGCGGACGCGGCTCGACGACGCGCGGGGACGCGACGGCGCGGGTTTCGGTACGAGGTCGGGGATGGTGTGGACGGCCATGTCGAACGCGTTCGCCGTGCACGTGTTTCTGACGAACCTCGAAGCGACGGAGCCGTCCTCGGGATCCGCGCACGACACGGGCTGGGCCCCCGCCGCGCGAGCGAGCGTCGACGCCGCGATGATCAGCACGATGCCCGCGTTCATGATTGGTGCGCGAGCGAGTCTACTGGGCGGCGTCGATGGGCGCGAGATGCGGGGGTCGCGACGCTTGGTCGAGGCGATCACGACAGGTCGGTCGAGAGAGCGGGACGCGCGCCGACGACGCCGACGACGCCGAGTCCTCCGACGAGGCTGAGAGGATGGCGCTTGTCCACAGGCGATCGCTCCCCACAGGCGAGCCGACGGTGAGCGATCGAAACAAATGACCCCCCGACGGCCGAGACACGTATGTACATCGTTAGGGGGGACAGACATACACACGAATCGGTGGCGCGCGCCGGAGCGACGCGCACGCCCGAGGGGCGGGGGGGATGGATGGTCGCGCGCGTGTCGCGCGACGGCGCGGCGGCCGCGCTTCGGCCGCGCGCGCGTGCTTGGCGTGCTTGGGTCGCGCCTAGAAGGCGAGGAGGTTCGACTCGCCGCTGTGGTCGTCGACGCCGTCGTTGTCGCTGTTGAAGAAGCGGCGGCCGTCGGCGAGGACCGCGATGCCCTCGACCTTCTCGGGCACGTAGCCGGCCGTCGCGGCGATGGGCACGAGGAGGTCGGCGACGAGGTGCTTGTAGAGGACGCGGTCCGCGTCGTAGTGGAAGACGTTGGCCTTGTAGACGCGCTTGACGGCCGCGTCCATGCCGCCCTGGTTGTCGCGGTCGAGGACGTAGATGTCGCCGACGGCGCCGCCGGTCTGGACCGGCGCGGCCTCGATGTCGCCGACGCCGACCCAGCCGCCGTACTGGGACGACGGCTCGTCGACGGGGTAGAAGACGAAGGACCAGCCGGCGTCGCCGCCGACGGCGTAGTCGTAGACGCCCATCTGCGGGAACTCGTCGGCGCCCCAGGCGCGCTGGAACGCGACGACGATCTTGTTGTCGAGGACGGCGACGCCCTCGAAGCCGAAGCGGAGCTGCCGCGCGTTCTGGGCGTCCGGGAGCGCGATGACCTCGTCGATGACGTAGTCGGGCCCGGAGAGGCCGAGGACGAAGAGGAAGTTGAGCGACCGCACGGGGCGGCCCGCGTCGCCGACGGTGCCGTAGCCCTCGTGGGCCACGACGTACTTGACGGCGCCGCCGAGGATGCCCACGGCGACGCCCTCGGGGTCGATGTTCACCGTCTTGTCGTCGTTGACGAGGGCCGCGAGGTCCGCGGCGTCGAACTCGCCGTCGGCGACCGCGCCGTCGACGGTCGTCGTGAAGTTCGTGAAGTGGGACCAGGACCGGAGCACGTCCTTCGAGTCCAGGATGCGCGCACCGCCGACGACGACGGCGGGGGCGACGCCGACGTCGATCTCGAAGACGCGGCTCTTGCCGTAGGCCGAGTCCTCGACGGCGAGGACGAGGTCGCCGGCCTCCGCGGTGAGCGACGAGAGCGCGGCGAAGGGGATGGGCGCGGAGCCGTCCGCCGGGAGCTGGGAGACGAGCGTCGGGAACGACGGCGCGCCGCCGGTGCCGAGCTCGTAGACGTTGAGCGCGCCGCGGAACTTGTCGTCGCGCGCGTCCTCCTCGGACGCGGTGACGACGATGCCGGCGGCCGGCACGGCGACGGTGCCCTCGGGGCCCATGGCCGCCGGGAGCGTCTGGACGTAGGTGATGGTCGGGAAGGCCGTGACGTCGTAGACGACGACGAGCGAGGACCGCTCGAGGTTGACGAAGACGAAGTCGCGCGTGCCGCCGGCGCCGTCGGGGAATTCGCCGTACGCGATGTTCTCGGGCTCGACGCCCTTGTTCTCCGAGCGGTGCTCGGGGTAGTGGCCGAGCGAGGCCGCGAGGTGCTCGAGGAAGTTGCCCGAGTCGTAGACGAGCGCGCCCGTCGCGCCGTCGAAGACGGACCAGGACCGGCTGCCGCCCGCCATGTCGCCCTCGTTCGCCGTCGCGAAGTAGGCGCCGCCCTTGATCCAGACGACGCCGTCGGGCTCGGCGGTGACGGCCGCGAGCGACGCGGTCTGGTCGATGACGCCCTCCTCCGCGACGTCGACGTCCGTGAGGTCGCGCGCGCCCGCGGACGCGGAGAAGTCGACGGCGCCCGTCGGCAGGTCGACGACGGCGACGCAGTTGTTCTCCTGCATCGTGACCACGGCCTTGTTCCCGGGCGAGACGGACACGAACTCGGGCTCGGGGTCCTCGGGGAAGTCGCAGCCGGCGAGGCCCGTCATCGCGACGTCCGCGTGCTTCGAGAGGCGGACGCCGAGCTCCGAGTTCGCGGTCTTCGCGGTGAAGATCTCGACGTGGCCCGCGGGGAACTGGGGCGGGTTGCCGTCGCCGAGGTCCTCGTCGCGCTCGTTCTCGATGGCGACGGCGATGTAGGCCGTGTCGCCGGCGAAGGCGCCCGCGGCGACGGCGTCGGGCTGGCCGCCGAGCGGGAGCGAGACGACGCCGGCGACGGCGTCGTCCGCGGAGCCGCGGGTCGCGCGGATGGGCACGCCGAGGAGCGCGCCGGACGTGGCGACGTAGTCCTCGCCCGTCGACACGGCGACGACGGCCGCGTCGCCGACGACGGCGACGGACGTCGGCTCGCCGGGCGTCGCGAACGTGCCGAGCGGCTTCGGGTCGCGCGGGTCGTTGAGGTCGACCCAGCCGATGACGCCGCGCGGCGAGTCCGTGTAGACCGCCGTGAGCTGGCCGCCGGCCTTGGGGTTGCAGTAGAACCAGTCCCCGGAGCAGTCCGCGTCCGCGCAGCACCACGATCCGAGCGCGTCGCCGTCGCACGGCGCCGCGGGGCACGCGTCGACGCCGGCCGCGCAGGCGGCGCCGTCGATCGCGCTCGACCACGACGCCACGCAGGCCTTGACGTGGACGTCGACGATCTCCGCGGACGTCTCCGTCTCGTCGTCGCACGCGCCGTCGATCTGCGAGCACACCGGGAACGTCGCGACGCGCTCGAAGAACGTGGGCGCGGGCTCGTGGAGGTCGAACTCGTTCGCGCACATGCCGGCCGTGACGCACTGCTTGGACCAGGAATCGGGGGCGCACGTGTCGCAGGTGCCGCAGGACCTGGCGGCGCGTCGGGATCGACCGAGGCGGTCGGGCGCGCCCCGACCGCGTCGACGCGCGCGCGCGCGCCGCCGACCGGCCGAGGCGCGGTCCCGCGCGCGGGGGCTCTCGAGGGACCGCCGCGCCGCGGCGGTCGAGGCGGTCGCGCGGGCGGGCGTCGCGCGAGGGCCTCGCTCGCGAGGATCTCGGCGAATCTCTCTCCGGCGCGAGCGCTCGGGCGGACGCGCGCGGGGCGGGGGTTCGGGAGTTGGTTGAGGGTCGGGGGATCACTCACTCTTGGCAGGCCACGTTCGCCTCGACTTTGTTGCCCTTGCCGTTCTTGCCCTTCTTCTGGCAGCGAGAGCTCGGCTTCTTGGCGACCCAGTCGCAATTCTTGGAACGCTTGTTGTTGATCATCCACTTCTTGTCGTTGGTGCACGCCGACTCCGACACCGTGACGGTGGCGGCGAGGGCGACGAGGATAAGCTTGTTGCTGTACATGTTCTTCGCGCGCGTCGCTGTAGCCTTGCTTTCGGTTTTGCTTCGATTTCTAGATCGCGAATCTCCTGTGATTCCACACAGGGATGTGTTGTGTGTGTGGATTAGATGGCCCGGCGGGATGCGTCGCCTAATGCGCTAGAGAGAGAGAGATGCATCCAGGCATGAATCCGACCTCCCGACGGAATCCCGTGGCCTACCCCGGGAGTCCTACGTTTCGAGTCGCATGCAGGCAGGAACTCCCTACGCCGACCGGTCCTAGGTGTCATGCGATTCCTCCTCGTGCCGCGGCTCACGGGCGAGAACGTCAGTTCCCCCTCGGATCCGGAAGCCGCGCTCGACGACGCGTGTAGCGACGTGAGAGGTTAGCGCCCGCCGCCCTCGCGCGCGGCGGCCGCGCGGGCCTCGGCGCGCATGTCCTTCTCCGACGCCGGGTTGCCGCTCGCGGCGTCGCGCAAGACCGCGTCGAGGCCGCCGAGCGTGCCGACGCCGCTGGTGGCGCAGAGGGAGCCGAGGTCGGCTTTCCTCATGCCGCCGCGCTCGTCGGCGACCCAGAGGCCCCCGCCGGAGCCGCCGAGGTTGAGCTTCTTGCGGTCGCGCTGCTCGCGGCGGAGCCGGTGCATGTGGCGCCGGACCGCGGGCGGCTCGCGCGTCTCGACGGCGCACTTCTCCAGGAGCTCCTCGAGGGCCGCGGCCGTCGCCGGCGTCGCGCCGTCCGTCGCCGCGAGGCCCGCGCGGCACGCGGCCGCGGCGGCCTCGTAGCGGCCGAGGCCGAAGAGCGCGGCGCCGCGGCGGCTCGCGGCCTTGGCCCAGGTCGGTTTCAGGGCGACGCAGGCGTCGGCGTCGCGGAGCGCCGCGGCGAAGGCGTCGAGCTTCGCGTGGCACGCGGACCGGTTGCTGTAGAGCACGCCGTCCGTCGCGTCCGCGGCGAGCGCCCTGGTGAACGCGGCCGCGGCCTTGGCCCACTTGGCCGCGGCGAAGAGCTCGGCGCCCCTGGCCTTGTGCGCCGCCTTGGCCGCGTCGTCGGCGAGGGCCGCGTCGTCCGGCGCCAGCGACGCGTCGACGGCGAAGCCGTCCGCGTCGCGGAGCTCCTGGAGCCAGTCCCGCAGCTCCGCGCAGCCCCGGTCCAGCGCGAGCCTGAGAGCGTCGCGGTGTTTTCACACAAACGGCCGTGGAGGACGCCGGCGCGTCGTGACCCGGCGCGGCAGGTCCGCTCGAGCGCGCGGCGATGGCGCTCGACGGCCGCGGCCGTCGCCGGCGACCGCCGCGCGGCGCGGACGTAGGCGACGTCGACGCCGCCGTCGGCGTCGTCGTCGCGGTCCGCGTCCGCGGCGTCGAAGTCCGCCGCGGACCGCGCGCCCCGCAGGGCCGCGACGGCCGCGAGGCGCTGGAACGCGCCCAACCGCCGGTAGCCGCGCGCGAAGCCCGGCGCGAGGGCGACGCAGCGCTCGCCGTCGGCGAGGCCCGCGGCGACGTCGGCCGCCGGCGCGCAGGCGCCGCAGAGCTGGAGGCGGCAGCGCGCGCGGTTGCTGTAGAGCGCGTGGTTGTTCGGGTCCGCGGCGATGGCCGCGCCGTACATGTCCACGGCCTCGGGCCACCGCTCCGCGCGGTTCAGCTCGTCGGCGGCGGCCTTGAGCCGCGCGGCGGTCGACTCGCCGGAGGCCGTCGGCGCCCGCAGCACCTTGGCCGACACCCAGCCCGCGCGGCCGCCGTGGCCCACGCGGCAGCGCGCGACGCCGGACGCCGTCGACGCCTCCTCCAGCACCTCGACGACCGCGCCGAAGGGCGCGCTCCAGCCCGCCGACGCCGAGTCGAGCTCGACGCCGTCGCGAACCGTCGCGCCCTTGGCCGCGATGACCTCCTTCATGGTGGCCATGCTCAAGAAGGGCTGCAAGCAGGCCGAAGAAGCACCAACGTTGCGAGCATTTTCCGCCACGACGAGATGGCGTCGCGTTCGATGGCTTCGCTGCTCGCGTGGCTGCCAGCGCTCGCCGTCGCCGCCGCCAATGACTGCGACGTCGCGGTGGTCGGCGGCGGCTGGGCCGGGCTCTACACCGCCTACCGCCTCGCCCCGACGACGCCGAACCTCTGCCTCTTCGAGGCGCGCCACAAGACGGGCGGCCGCACCTACAGCGTGCGCGAGGAACACAACCTGACCATCGACATCGGCGCGTACCGCTTCGGCCGCGACATGCACCTCCCGGGCGACCTCATCCGCTTCGACCTGAACCTGAGCACGCGCTGCTACCAGCCCGACTGCGGCCTCGACCCGGAGTTCAACACGACGCTCTACAAGATCGTCGACGGCGACGCCGCGGAGAACGCGGCGGGCTACGAGACGCCGCTGCGCCTCATCACGCGGGACCTCGTCGCCCGCGGCGTCCGCGTCGAGTACGGCCGCGAGCTCGTCGCCGTCGAGGACGGCGCGGACGACAGGGGCGCGAGGCTCGTCTTCGCCGACGGGTCGGCCGTCGAGGCCGGCGCGGCGCTGCTGAACCTGCCCCGCAAGGCGATCACGGCGCTCGACGCGGGCGACTCGCCGCTCTTCCGCTACGACGCGACGGCCGCGCGGCTCCTCGCGGCCTGCGAGCCCTGCCCGCACCCCGAGGGCTTCGAGGTCGAGCAGCTCAAGGTCTACCTCGTCTACCCCGAGCCCTGGTGGCGCACGGAGCTCGGCATCCTCGAGGGGTCCTTCGCCGCCACGAACTCGTCGCCTCCGTTCTTCGGCCGCTTCCACGACGGCCCCATGCTGAGGGACGCCGCGGGCGCGCTCGTCGGCGCGGGCGCCATCGAGACGGTCTACACGTTCAACGAAAAGGTGCCGAGCATCACCTACTACGACGCGTACCGCGCCGCCGGCGACGACCCGCTGACCGTGTCGACGAACGCGACGCTGCTGGCGGAGAGCCACGCGAAGCTGCTCGCGCTTCACGCGGCCGATTTCGCGTCGAAGGGCGTCGACCCGGCGACGGTCGCGCCGCCGACGTCCGCGGTCATGGGCTTCTGGGACGCGTCGAACAAGTTCCTGCCGACGCCCATGTCGTCGAACTTCCGGGCCATGCTGAAGACGTGCCCGGAGGAGACCTGCCTCGGCGGCGTCGACGGCCACGCGTACACGATGAAGACGTCGAACCCGACGGGCGGGAAGAAGAACCTCTTCGTCGCGAACAACGACTACTGGTTCACGGGCTACCAGGGCACGCCCTGCTGCTGGGCCGAGCAGAGCCTCAAGGTCGCGGAGCACATCCTCAAGACCCACTTCGCCCTCCCAAAGCCCGCCTGGCTCGACGAGGCCTACTACCGCGACCAGGTGTCCGCCCTCTAATCCGACTTTTTGTGTGCGCTCTCGCTAGTCCGGCGTGTCCAAGCCTCGGCAGTCCGGCTCGCGGAACAGGTCCGGGAAGTCCCACGCCCGGGCGAGCTCGCGGCAGGTCCGCGCGACGTCGCCGCACCGCGCCAGCGCGCCGGACGCGAGGGGCCGCAGCAGCGCCCGGAGCCGCCGCGCGTCGTCGGCCCCGAGGCGCGCGAGCAGCGCCGCGTGCGCGGCCCAGAAGGGCGCCGCGCGCGCGCCGTCGCGCGCGCAGAGGTCCTCCGACGGCGGCAGGCGCGCGCCGAAGTCGAAGCGCAGGACCTCGGGGTCGTCGGCCACGTAGAAGGCGCGCGGCAGGTCCCGCGCGCGCCACCGGGGGAACGCGCCGTCGAGGAACGCGTCGAGGCGCTCGCCGGGCCTCCGGCGCGCGAGCGCCGCGCGCAGGGGGCCGTAGGAGAGCGCGAGGTCCGGGACGAGGACGAGGAGCTCGGACCGGAGGCCCCGCGACGCGTTCGACGCGCCGAGGCCCGGCCGCTCGAAGAGGTCCGCGGCTTTGGGCCCGAGGACCGCGCCCGGGCCGACGACGACGACCTTGTCGAAGCGCGCGAGGCCGAAGGCGTGGAGCAGGCCGAAGGCGCGGGGCACGTCCGGGAGCCGCGGCGCCTCGAGGACGGCGCCGCGGAAGCAGGCCCGGAGCAGCGGGCCCGCGTCGTAGTCGTCGAGGACGGTGCCGTCGGCGAGCGCGACGTGCGGGTGGCCGCCGGGCGCGCGCGACGCGGCCGTGACGCAGGCGGCCCAGACGTCGCTGACCGTGGCGACGTGCGTGACGAAGGCCCGGAGGCTCGCCGTCGACGACCCGTCCGCGCGCCGCCGGTCGTCGCGCGACCGGTCCGTCGCGGCCTCGGACGCGGCCCACGCGTCGAGCACGAGCCGCTTCGACGCCGCGGCGCCGAGCCGCGGCGCCGCCGCGGCGCCGGCGTCCAACCTCGGCCCGCGGCGCCGCGACTGGTCCACGGCGAAGAGCGCGTAGGCCTGGCCCGCGAGCGCCGCGACGTCGACCGCGGCGTCGGGCGTGCCCTCCCACAGCGCCGGCCCGCTGAGCTGGCCCTCGCAGCGGAAGTGGACGGCGTCGGCGGTCTGCGTCGCCTCGAGGAAGAGGAAGTAGAGGCCGTACTCCGTCCAGAAGGGCCCCGCGTTCGCCCACCAGGGGGCGCCGTGGCGCCGTTCGAGGTACGCCCAGAGCGCGCGCGCGGCGCCCGCGTGGAGCAGCGCGGGCGTGACGCCGTAGAAGCCCCGTCGCGCGTCGACGCTCGGGATGCCCAGCACGTCCCCGGACCAGCGCAGCCAGCGGCCGAACTGGCCCACGGACCGGAGGTCGTCGCCGCCGCCCGCGCCGGAAAAGAAGGGCGAGAACGTCGCTAAACCGCGGCCCCGCGCGTCCACGAGGTCCGCCAAGACCAGGGGCCGCAGCAGCACGACGTCGGCGTCGAGGACGAGGTAGAAGGCGCTCCGCACGACGCGGGCCGCGGCGAGCTTCGCGACCATCTGCGCGACGCGGCCGCGCCTGAAAGGGTGATTCAACACTTCAGCGTGAGTGTTCCGCGCGCGCGAGTTCCATTGAAAAAAGCATCCACGCTTCGCGAGATGATCGCTCGTCCAAAAATCAGCCGAAACGAGTGGAAAACGACCGAGCTAGGAGCCTTCCAAGTTGGGAACGTCGCGCCCTCGTGCGGCCCCGGCCTTCGCCGGTCCCGGTACGCGCCGTCGCCGCCGTAGTCGTCGAAGCGGCGGTCGTCGTAGGTCGCGAGCTTCGGCTCCAGCGCCGCCTCGTCGACGCACCGCAGGGGCCAGGCGGCCGGGAGGCCCGCGCGGAGCGCGGCGCACGCCGCCGTACCGTTGGTGTCGCGCGACCAGACGACGACGTAGTCGTCGACGGCGCCCGGCGCCGCGAGGGTCGCCAGGGAGGCGGCCTGGCGGGCGAGGAGGCGGAACTCGCGGCTCGCCGTCGAGGCGACGCGCGCGGCCGTCACCGCGGCGACGGCGCCGCGCCGCGCGCGGCCCCGGAACCGCCGGAGCGGGTCGTCCGCGCAGCCCCGCGCCGCGAAGCGGTCCGCGCCGTCGCGGCGGACGTCCACGCGCCGCGGCAGGGTCGCGACGGCGGCGAGCCGCGCCTCGAGGGCCGCGCCGTCGAGGGCCGGGCCGCCGCGGGCCACGAGGAGCAGCGCGGCCCCGCAGCACGCCAGGGCGACGACGGCGCCGACGACGCAGCGCCGGCGCCGCGACGGCCGGCGGCGGGCCGTCGTGGCCGCCGTCGTCGGCAGCGCCGCGCCGCCGCCGGCCGCGGCGCGGCGCGACCGCATCTTATCGTGCGATACGAGGCATCAGCTTCTCATCGATCGATCAGCTTCTCCATGGAGAGCGGGGCTGCTTCAACCTCCGACGGCAGTATCAACTTGTAACGATGATACCATCGACCCACGGCAACGCCATCGAGCTGGGCCGTGTGGTTGCCTCGCCTCTCCGCCGCCCCGCGCGGGTTCCGGCGCGACCATGCTGTCGACGACGACGGCCCTGCCGACGGAGACGTCCTGGGGCGACACGCTGAAGAGCTACCAGGCCGAGCGGGGCCTCGCGTCCTGGGACAAGCTGGGCGAGGCCCACCCGCCCAAGGACCACCGCGTGACCCACTACGAGAAGCGGTCCAAGTTCAACCCGCTGCTCCAGCGCCACTACGACCCGCGGCGCGAGCGGTCGGCGCGAAACTCCGCCGCCGAGGCCGACGGCGCGAAGCTCGCCGCGGCGCTCGACAAGCAGCCGCCGTTCGACATCGTCACGCACGAGTTCCGGAGTGGCAAGACGCCCGCGGAGCGGGCGCCGAGCAACAAGCCGCCGGACTCGCGCACGTCCTGGAACATCATCAACCACAAGGCCAAGGACCCCAGGGCGCCCCCGCGGAAGTCCGTCGTCGACGCGCGCGCGGAATCGGGCCTATTGCCCGCGTCGTGGAAGCGCCGCGAGTTCGACATCGTCTCGAACAAGTACATCAGCGACCACAAGGGCCGCACGCTCCGGGACCGCACGGAGGCGAAGCACAGCGCCCAGAAGCTCTTCTGGGAGACGCACGACTTCGACCCGCTGCTCGGCCGCTACTACGACGCGGGCAAGGAGGCGGACTTCGCGAAGCAGCGCGCGGTGCTGAGCTCCATCGCGGGCCAGGGGTCCGTGGCGCGGCTGCCGCCGGCGGTGCAGTACTGCGAGGGCGCGGCCTACGACATCGTGAGCCACGCGGTCAAGGACCAGGCGAAATTGGAGGTCGCGTCCGGCGTCGGCAACCGGGCCATCGCGTCCAAGAAGGGGCCCTCGGTGGAGGCGGAGCTGCGGGACCGGTCCGTGAAGCGCGACGACCGCGACAAGAGCCGCGCCCTCGCGCGCTTCGCGAAGACGGTCGACTTCTGCGAGCGCGAGGGCGGCCGCCACCACGGCTACGACGTGTTGACGCACGAGTCGCACGTCGGCCGCCTCGCGCGGCCCATGGCCACCATGCGCATCAAGAAGCCCGACGGGCCCTGGCAGCAGCTGTCCAAGTCCGCGGCCGTCGTCACCGCGGACCTCGGCGGCCGGCCGCTGCCCGCGACGAAGCGCTCCGCGACGGCCAAGGCCGCGCCCCGGGACCTCAGCGGCGCCCAGGTGCCCGCGCCGCCGACGGCGCCGGCGTCGAGCCGCACGGGCAACGTCCCCATGCGCAGCAAGCCCAGCGGCCGCGGCGTCCCCGCGCCCACGGGCGCCGCGGCGCCCGCGCCGCGGCCCTCCGTGCCCGCGCTCAAGCTCCCGACGAGCCCAGCCTGAGGGGGGGGCGTCGCCGCGCACCATGCTCCCGTAACGACTCGAAACGCGCGGCAGCGGTGGTGATGGTGGCGCCTCGGGATGCGCGCCTTTACTTTATGCGATCGGCGAGCCGCCCGGGCCCGCGGCGGAATCCCGTGTTGGACTAGTGATTGAAGGGGACGCGCGCTCGACTGGTGCGGTGCCCAATGTTTGCCCACGAGTGATCCAAAACGGCGCTTAGCCTATCCCGCCGGCGGGATAAGTTACGCCCCTCCCTAGAGCGTCGCCGTGCACTTGAACTCCGCGGCCGCGCCCAGGGCGACGGCCGCGACGCCGAAGGCCGCGCGCGCCGGCGGGTCCACCGCGAAGACGGACGTGTAGGCCTCGTTCATCTTGTCGAAGTCGGTCGCGAGGTCGCCGACGAAGCACGTGCAGTCGAGCACCTTGTCCAGCGACGTGCCCGCGGCGTGGAGCATGGTCTCGATGTTCGCGAAGGCGCAGAGCGTCTGGTTGTAGACGCCGCCGGGGCAGAGCTTCATCGTCGACATGTCGACGCCGATCATGCCCGAGACGTAGACCGTGTCGCCGGAGACGACGGCGTGCGAAAACAAGGGCGACTTCTCCCAGCCGTCGACGTTGACGACGCGCTTATCCGCGACGGCGACGAGCGCGGCGCTGAGCAGGATGCCGAGGCGCATGGTGCACGCGGAAAATGATCGGAGCTCTTCGAGGCTCCCTCCCGCGAAAGCACACCTTATCGGTGGACACTGCGCGGCGCGGCGTAGAGCTGGCCTTCCGACGCGGGTGGCGGGTTGGCGGGCCGTGGACTGCAGCAGCGCTTTTGCCACGGGCATCATCATCATCCACTGCTGAATCGGCGTGCGGTCGCCTCGCCACTTGGCCTCGGCAGCGACCAGTGCGCCCACGCGCGCGTGCCCACGGGCCGCGCAGCGATTGATCCCGCGGTCTAGGTCGTATGGGAGGGCCGCGCGCGACCTTCCGGCGCTCGTAGAGCCGACTGCGCGCGCGCGCACGGCGGTCGAAAAAGTGCCGGAATTGGGCGATCCAGCCGTGCTCCGGCGCATCGAGGAACTCTCAAACGCGACCACCACTCAAAGCTTCCTATCATGATGCTACACGATGGTGCTGCGCAGTTTTTGATGTTTCGTCGAAATTCCGGCCGCTCGCGAATGTCCGCCGGGCGCCGAAACGCTTCGACCGAAAACGCGAGCCGCGGTGCGCCTGTGGGCGCTGGCGGCGGGCTGGCTGTCGTCGAAGGCGTAGACCATATGTGACGAGCGGGCGAAGGCGTCGGAGTCGCCCCGGGTTGCGAAATCGGCGTGCGAGAGGTTGTTCTGGTCAAAAGTGGCCTCAAATAGCCCGAAAACGAATGATTTCGGCGCCAAGCGCAGCGTTTCACGTCGACCGATCACCGTCGCTGTGTTCCGTCGGGCGGTTCGACATCATAGAGCTCCTGCACGGCGATCTACACCGTCTCCGACGCCCACAAGGTGCCCGACACTCGCCGAAAGCGTCTCGGCCGAGAAGCGGCGAATGGTCTCCGCGGCCTGTTTCGACCGCGTCCGGGCCTCGGTCGAGGTTTGTGCGACCTGCCCGTCCGTCGACGGTCCCGACCGCAGCCGCGGGCGGCTGGATCGCCGCAGAGAGCGCCTTGGAGCGCCTCCAGGGGCTCAAAATATCTCATTTTCACCTCAATTTACTC